ATTACCTAGTGTTTGAAAAATCAAAAAAAGAATTGTAGTTCTTCTATATTTCAAAACTGTTTTTATACTAAAAGAGTTTAAGGAGCTCAAGAAAAACACGATTGTTTGCAGCTGGTGCCCGAAATTGCCTCGCTTCTATGTTCAAGTGTATTGTTATGCAAATATCACAAGTTAACCGTGAAAAGAGCTATTCACTTTAGTACGTTCGCATCGATAAAAGTTAAACGACTTTTACTATTTGACGAGGGTGTGTTTTCAGCTTCAAATTTCAGTTTTGTTTCTAAAACATTTCTATGCGACAAAAAAGTATAATCCCCCCAAAAATGCGATAAAAGCTATTTAGATAACACGGATCAGAATTCATAATATATGCTATCCTCTGATCAAGATTATAATTATATTGATGTAAAATCTTCATATCAATTGAAGCCCCGTCCACGCAAATGCGTTTTCGTTTGAAAACGCATAATTTTTCGATGCTTTTTCGCCTGTCTGGGATCCACACTAAAATGATCGAAAGCGCTGATCGATATAGATCAATTATTATTATTATCGTTTCCATCGACAAGGCATACGTCCAGAGTGGAGATATTTGAAAAAGGAGTCTTGTGAAAACGATAGCGTGGACGCGATGCTTTTGATGCGTTTTCGGTAAAATAAAAACGGGGCCTTTATCGAAAACGCATTAGTGTGGACGGGGCCCGAGTCTGTTATTGACGGAATGGTTGCCATTACCCTTTCTCTCTTATTAATTACCTAGTGTTTGAAAAATCAACGGGTTTCCATACCAATACCCATAAAGTACCAAAAACGGTACCAAAACCTTAAAGAAAAAAAAGGTTTGCGTGCATTTGGTTGCGGTATACTGAGGCCTTGAGGCCTTTTTTTACAATGTATATAATTCTAGTAGTTACAGGCGTCATTTGTTTTAGTTGATTTGATTGGTTAATTTTATAAGCGCGCGCGTTATTGGCTAATTTGAAATTAGCGGAGTATAAGCGGAGAATAAATTGGACGAATTTTGAGTTGAAACTGCGTGTTGTAATTTTCGGTGTGGGACGTTTTTCGCTTATTTTGAGGATTCGGCTTCGAAAATTACGAGTTTGGAAATACATTCCGAAAATATACTAACGTGAGTCTCCAGATGTTGACGACCTATGCGCGCTATCTTCAGCAATTTGCGCATTTTGCTTGCTTTTCGCGACGCGTGTATGCTAAACGTTTGATTTGAAGTGTATGATAAACAGACAAACAATTAAAGTCTAAATTAAAAACATCCATCGAGCTCGTTTCCAGCTGTGACTTCTGAAAAATCATTAGCATTCAATATGGAATCATCCTACAGCAACAACGAACAAGTTGTAAAATTCATTTCTATATTATTTTACTCCTTTTTGTCCAAACGTTTAGAATTGACCCGCAACCGAGCGAGCGAAGCGACTTACAACTTCTGACACATAGCTCCCAGCATATTTTAATGTGCAATTGATGGTTGATATACAGTAGTCATATGTCAAATGAGGTGGACTGTATGACGCCTTTAACACAACATGTATTTAGGCTGTCCTATTTTGGACCTACTTATTTTCGCGCGTCTTAATTCTAGCGAAAATAAAGACGATATTTAGGCCTTTGAGCCCTTTTTTCTCTGAAATCGCGAAAATAAAGCCTCGCCAAATACGGATCTGTCGATTTCGCGAAAAGATAAATTCTAGAATCTTCCTTTTTGTTTCCGCCATCTTGGATTTCAAGATTGTTAAAAAATCAGTATATATTATCAAAATAGCTATTATAAAATCGTTAATAATATATTATATATTTACAGCGTATTAAGGATGCCAACGCTGTAAATATACGGCTTGGTTCGCTCGATTGTCGATTCCGTCCTTTTCTTCTCCGGAAGCAATAGTCCCTCGGACTGCGGTGCTCGGGCATGGGATTGGGTACAAGGTCTACATCTTGTACTCAGTAGGAGCCAGGGTTCAGCCAGGGCATCTCTCTCCCTCCCCATCCCTCCGCATGACCCGGGAATCTCTTACCGAGTTTTCATATTGAAAAATGTTGTCCCTGCTGACCGTATTAAAAATTTGCCTTTCGGTTTCGAATTTCAGGAGACTGGGGAGAGTTGTTTCACAACATCCAATACAGTAAAAACCCGCGTATAAGAACCCGTATTTTTTCAAGGCAGGTTGAAATGGTTCTTATATATTGAATATCTAGTGAGGAATCAGGCTGTTTAGGTTCTTAAATAGGTTCGTATTTTTGACATAGTAAATACTGCTTGCTGCTGGCCATAAATACATGTTAAACGTATTTACTGCTGGAAACTCCTGTACACATGTAAGATCAAAGGGATTCACTCACGCGCTGTTCCCATCGATGGCTCTGTAGCTCAGACGGTAAAGCAGTGACATGTAACCCGAAGGTCGTGGGTTCGAGTCCCACCTGAATCACTGAATTTTTTTCAGTGGTCAGGATTTGCAGTGTAGCAATTATTCATTTATTCTATTTTATAAAATAACTCATTGACCTTCAGGCCTAATTATTAACATATAACATGTAAGGCGAGAAACTAAATTTGTATAATAACCCAAATGTCTTATGCTTGTGATTGGGTAGTTTATGATTGGGCAATTTTACTAATTTTTTTCAAATAAGAAGCTACTCCATTATCCAGGCTGAAGTGGTTCTTATATATTTGGGGTTTGATTGGCCAAATTTTAGCCTGCAGGTTCTTAATACGCGGGTTGTACGTACTGTATTGCGAATATAAGAAAGATTGGCTTAGCTATCTCTGTACTGTCAAGTTTAATGGTAACGCTATTCTTCTTCTTCTTCTTCTTCTTCTTCTTCTTCTTCTTCTGCGTCTGCTTCTTCTTCCTCTTCTTCTTCTTCTGCTACTGGTTTCTTCTTCTTCTTCTTCTTCTTCTTCTTCTTCTTCTTCTGCTTCTGCTTCTGCTTCTGCTTCTGCTTCTGCTTCTGCTTCGGCTTCGGCTTCGGCTTCTGCTTCTTCTTCTTCTTCTTCTTCTTCTTCTGCTTCTTCTGCTTCTTCTTCTTCTGCTTCTTCTGCTTCTGCTTCTGCTTTTTCTTCTTCTTCTTCTTCTTCTTCGTCTTCTTTTTCTTCTTTTCTTCTTCTTCTTCTTCTGCTTCTTCTTCTTCTGCTTCTTCTTCTTCTGCTTCTTCTTCTTCTGCTTCTTCTTCTTCTGCTTCTTCTTCTTCTGCTTCTTCTTCTTCTGCTTCTTCTTCTTCTGCTTCTTCTTCTTCTGCTTCTTCTTCTTCTGCTTCTTCTTCTTCTGCTTCTTCTTCTTCTGCTTCTTCTTCTTCTGCTTCTTCTTCTTCTGCTTCTTCTTCTTCTGCTTCTTCTTCTTCTGCTTCTTCTTCTTCTGCTTCTTCTTCTTCTGCTTCTTCTTCTTCTGCTTCTTCTTCTTCTGCTTCTTCTTCTTCTGCTTCTTCTTCTTCTGCTTCTTCTTCTTCTGCTTCTTCTTCTTCTGCTTCTTCTTCTTCTGCTTCTTCTTCTTCTGCTTCTTCTTCTTCTGCTTCTTCTTCTTCTGCTTCTTCTTCTTCTGCTTCTTCTTCTTCTGCTTCTTCTTCTTCTGCTTCTTCTTCTTCTGCTTCTTCTGCTTCTTCTGCTTCTTCTGCTTCTTCTTCTTCTTCTGCGTCTGCTTCTGCTTCTGCTTCTGCTTCTTCTTCTTCTTCTTTTTCTTCTTCTTCTGCTTCTTCTTCGTCTTCTTCTTCTTCTTCTTCTGCTTCTTCTTCTATTACAACTTATCAGCATCGAAGTCCATGGAATTGAATTCACAGTTGCTTTTCAAGACTCGATCAATTATTCCACCACTGTGGAGGTCTAAGACCATTATTTCTTCGGCGCATTTACCTTGGCCGACTTCGATTTTAAATTTGTTCCATTTTGGTTTTGAATGATTGTTAGACGTTTTGATGTATTCTCTAACATCATTATCAAACATCATGATGAAGATAATGTTGTACGTGTATTGTGAAGTGTAATTCCAAATGAATATGCTTTAAAACATAATCTATAAGTAATAAGCGGCATTCCCGTGTGCGGAAGCTTGACTAAATATTTTTGCGCAAATTGAATCGCCAGTTACACCTTGATCGATGGATTTAGTTCTTTTATGAATAAAATTTCATAAATAAGACAGTCAAATTTGTTTTTGCACTTCTTCCGCAGTACCAGAACGTTCACCGTCAAAGATGGTTTATCCAATCCATTCAGTTATTAAAAGAGAACGTGTTTCCCAGCTGACGATTTTAGGCTACCTACCGCAATTTCTCATTTTGTTTTTGACCAATAATAGGGAGTCTCGCATATTGGCCCGACTTGTTCCAAGCAAAAATAGCCAAAGTTTTATATGGACAAAAATTGGCTCGGCTCCAGGTCACATAATTTCTAAGTGACCGACCTTCCCCCAAGGATGACCCTGCTCCCCCTTCCCCCGTCCCCCTAGCAAACGTTTTAAATTTCTCATGTAAACGGTTTGCTGCTCTTTATAAAGAAATGTATGGAAACGTTCTCACGCCCGGGGTGGAGGGTGACCCTCCTACCAGGGACAATTTTTCTCCATATAAGCAGGCCCTGAAAATATCTAGTAAATGCTGAAATGCTCAATATAGATACATAAACAGATGATTAAGTTCTCCTAGCATTTAAAAGTACGTGCGTTTTTGTTTAGTAAATAATTGTTCAAAATAATTTCTCTCCATCTGTAGGAATGATGATTCCACCGTAAAACAAGACCATTTCTGCAATTATGGAGAAAAAATGCTTGTGTGCTATGAAAATACTTTCCCTACTGTTCGTTTTAATGTGGAATGAAGAAGACGGCGTCTTCGCTTCACAAGGTGACCACATAAATAATTAAAATTTTGAAATTATCAAATACAGTCTTTTCGTCTGTTACATGGTCTGCCCGGAATGCACGAGACCATGATTTTCAATTACAAGGTTATTTTGTAAAACAGGTCACGTGACATACTATATGCTTTAATATTTTAATGCTTTAATATCTTAATAAAATGAAAAAAAAATCATTAAGGGTAGAATATGTTTCTAATTCAAATGTGAACACAATTAGAATATTAGAGCTAAGTCAATGAAACTTGTAGGGTACAAAATATATGAAATATTTTCTGTGTGGCGATTACTTCATGATTTCCGAACAGCCGCCATCACAAAAAATAATTCAAACTGTAACAACAACAATTCTCGGTTTTCACTGTCACGCCATAAATAAAAAAATCGAAACCGTTCAATGAATGAAGTCAAGGAATTGACATGTCATAGATAATAAATAAATAAGGAATCAGTCCAAGACTCAGGTCGGTGCGGTATTCCCTACTCGAGTTATTTGTCAAAATGTTCCACACAAATTTATAGAGGGGCACCAACATGGCGGCCGGAAATAGGAAAAAACATCTGGAGTTCACTTTTGCCAGAAAGGAGGTTTGTTTTCTCTTGTGAACTTCTGAATATTTAGATAAATATTTCTCCTTAAACTTAAATTGTTTAGAATGCTGAAATTCACCCGAAGAGTGACTTTTTCGATACGGAACAGCTCTGTCACGGCCGTCCTCCTGATGATGACGATGAAAACTCTGAAATTTAAACTGTTCTATTTTCAAAAGGAAGCATGGTATCAAGCTAAGAAATTGTGAAAAGATATATATTTAGGTAATCTTTCGTTGAATGAAGGTAAAAATTCTGTAGGCCTCGCGGTTTTGAATTTTAGAATTTGATGACGTCACGTGAAAACCAAGAATATGAGAATGCTAAGATGGTCTAAAAAGGTAAAGTTAACGTTATTAAAAAAAGGAAGATTCAAAATTTGGAAAAACATGCCTGTAAAACTATGGCTGCAAGAATAACATGACATAGGAAATTGTTATCAGATAAATTTTAGGTCAATCTATTTAAATGTTTGGGCTTTACTTTAATATTAATAAAACTATGAACGGTTAAAGTCTGTGAGGTCAGATTCCGCCCTTCCCCGGTCTGAATAGGGTTAACTTCGGATCGGAGGATGGGGAACAAAGCAATAAGTCTCCAAAACTATTGTGCTGCGTCGGGGGCAAGTGAAGTTGACAAAGGCACATTAACCGCCGTAGCGAAAATTGATGGAACCATAGTTAATAGAGGGAAATGGTTATGAAGCCCGGCAAAGTTCTTTGTTATATGTTTTTGTTCGCTATTTTGGGGGTTGACCGTGCACAAAACCTGACAAAATACAATAGGTGGTTATGTGTGTTCAAGCAACTAACCAATAGAAACGTTTCGGTTACGTAATTCATGCATAGTGTATGAGCGCAAAACAAAAGATGTGCACGGTCATGGACCTTCCAACATAAATCTTGGCCTCTTTGTTTGCTCCTTTGAAGTTTGCCGGGCTTCATAACCATTTCCCTCTATTAACTATGATGGAACAAAGTGGAAGAAGGTGGGTCATGTGGAGCAAGCATGGCAACGGGAAATACATGAATAAACCAATTAATTAAATGGGACGCGTTCGTTGATCATTGAGGACCTGAATTATTGCCTCAATGAAGATAAATACTACCAGGGGTCTATAACTAGAGGTTTCCATCTAGCATTGCGCGCGGCCCATCAGATTCGCAGTTAGGCTATTTTTAGACATTTTTCCAGAATATACGAAACTTTGGAGAGATTGAGCGAAGAATAATCCGCGGAGAAAACTTTGTCTTGCTTTCTTTTCATTCAACTTGCCAACTGGACACCGCGCCAGAAGTTTTGCCGCCGAATTCATACAAATCATGCTTCATTTAGACTGAACTGAAAAATCACTCAGTCGATTTATAGTTTTACAAAAAGTATACCGAAGTTTGACCTAAATTTAGTGAAGTATTTAAACAATTATTACATTCTGCTGTGACGCTTTTCGCTTTTCCTTGGCCGGCAAAGTTTCTGCCTTTGAGTAGCGCTCGCATATCATTAAAAATGGTTCAACGTGATTGGCTGCTGGTTTCGCGCGAAAAATGTCTAAAAATAGCCTAACTGCGAATCTGATGGGCCAAGACCCAATACCAGAGATGGAAACCTCTAGTTATAGACCTCTGATACTACAAACAACCATGTTTTTAGATGAACTTCCGGGAAGATTAAAAATGTTTGGAGACAGCTTGGTTTACAGGTGTCTAAACGGAAATTTTCATTTGCAATTGACACCTCAGGGATCAACGAACACTTTTCATTTAAAGTGCACCTAACCCCAAACATTTTTCTTCGCTTAAATAAATCTACATGTAATTCTAAGCATTTCTGTGAAAAAAAATTTGGATTCGGTTGAATCCTCGATTTTCTATGCTCTGCTGAAGTCAAGTTCGATGTGTTGCACGATCGCGTATAGGGAGTCGGTCTGGTGCCGAGTTATGACGTCTACTCGGGAACCACACAATATAGCGCCTCTGTCATTTCTCT